CTCTCTCTCTCTCTCTCTCTCTCTCTCTCTCTCTCTCTCTCTCTCTCTCTCTCTCTCTCTCGCCAACGACGACCGAGCTGTCGTGAAATAAGCCCTCCGAGAGAGACGACCATGGACCCGAACGGCGCCGCAAAAATGTTCGCTCGACCACCAAAGAACGACTCGCCCGTCCCTCGCAAACTGGAAACCACCCAAAGCGTGTGCAGAGAGTCCCYCGTAACTCGAGTACAAGGTCCCAAAACCCACGCCCGGAACGTCGCTTTCGTCGACTGCAAGGGGGCTGCTAAGCACGCAGKCCCCTATAAGAGTGCAAACGGGACTTCGAACCGCCAACCACTGACTGTTTGGCACATCCGGAGGGTGCTCACTGAGCCATCCGCCGAGGGACCTGCACATGTCCCTTTCCAGCAAGCTGACTGAACAGACCCCAATGGCGATGTTCCCTCGGGACCTCATCCCTTTCCGCTCTCACTAAGACGCCTGTGGACCTTCGATCCTGGGAGACCCCCTTTTCTCGGGGCCGTTCCTACGCCCGAGTGGCAGTGCGCGGTATCTGCTTCCCCCACAAAATTCGACACCTCAAAAGTCCGTCCCATCTCCGTCACTTCCACACACAAAGGGATAAGGGGAAGGGCCGGGGGAAAAAAATAAATACATTAAAAAAAAAAAAGAAAGAAAACAGAAAGGGACGAAACAAACAGAGAAAAGGCCAAGCAGCTTCTGTGACTAGCGACTCAGATCACGCCGAGGTGTGGGAGTGAAAAGTTTACGGGAAGTCTGGCAGAATCATGCATCCGTTGTGGGGTTATGCGTTGGCGAACATGACTGGACACGCACTCCAGAAAGAGAAGGGGGGAAAGAAAAGTCAAGGATTGACAAAATCGTCATTTCAATTTGTGTCGGCCCCGAAAAAAACTGCATCCGGCAGAAGAAGCGAGGCCGAAAACCCAACGGCCATAAGCATTTCCGTGCATGTCCCGGATAACACCATGGAGCCAATCAGGTACTGCCTCCAGTGAAGCAGGCCGCCATGATCACGCGCATGCGCGGGGAGGGCCGGATAGGGCAGGAAGTGGGCCGTTTGCCCCCGCCATGAAGATTATTGCTCGCACGCGTCGGACCGGGCGGGGGGGGGAGGGGGGGGGGCGCACAAAGGGCAGGAAGTGGCCTCTCTGTTCCCAAAGCTGGGGGGCGCGCGGCCCCGCCAAGGTCATGACAACGCAGTCGCGTGGCGAGGGCCACGTAGGGCAAGAAGTGGGTATTTTGTTCCCAAGCCATAATATTACGCACACACATGGGGAGGGCCAGATAGGGTGAGAATTGGCTTTCCAGGTCCGAAACACCAGGGGCATGCTTCGCGCGCCCTCCACCACGATTACGCTTGTACGCAGGGGGGGCCAGACACCCTCCGTCTCTGCCCCTCTACTAAAAATCTTCCGTTAAATTGATTGAATACTTGCTTGAGCAAACTTTTATCTACAGAATGAGAACATTCAGAATTTTGTTTTCATCATGAAAGAAAGGTGAATCCAATAGGGAAA